TTAAGGAGGTCAAACAACTGGCTCGATGCCCTATAGATTTTGAACAGGAGCCAACTCTGCAAATAGGATTTTGACACCCACACACAACCCAAAGAACTGGGAAAATTCCTCTAGTAATTTTCTCCCCTGACTGCAGGATCTGAGGACCCCCTTCTTCCCTCCTAGTGTGTACTGGCTTTACCTTGCCAACATGGAACCCACCGCTTGGGTTGGGGTCTCCATCCTCAAAGCTGGAGCTGCTTCAGCCACTGACTACCTTCCTCCCTCAGATGATCAATCTTTTCCTCTGTAGCTCCCCAAAACACAACAGGAAATGCAACTGTGACAAAAGAGGCACAAAACGATGAAAGAGGAACACCAAGAAGGGTGGGGGTGGGGGTCCCAGGGACTTAGTTTTGCTAAGACTAAAGACCTTACATGACCAGATCTACATATACATGCAAGTATGCACACGCATGACCTCCTGCCTTAACCTGCATTGTGACGGGAGGCTGCCCTGTCCTTGCCCACAAGATTGAAATATTAACAATGTGTAAATGTCAGCCAGGCATGGTGGAGCACACCTGTAATCCCAGCACTCGGGAGGCTGAGGCAGGAGGATCACTGTGAGTTTGAGACGAGCCTGGGCTACACAGTGATTTCCAGGTCAGTCTCAACTACATAGTGAGACCCTACTCAAAAAAACCCCAAAAAACAAAAACAACCCCCTAAAAAATTTGTAAATGTCCTCCCAACCCAGTGTCCATCAGGGCAGTCACAAAAAAAATATTTAAATTCATTTGATTACAAATCTTTCCTTTCACAGGAATAAATCCTGGCACCTAAGCCACCTGTGCACCGTCCCTGACCACACCGCCAGCAGTGAAGCACCAGCCTCGTTTCTTATTCTCCTCCAGTTCTTAGTCTCTGTGGTTCTCAGCCTTGGCTACACATCCGAATCACCCGGGGAGCTTTTCCAATTCCCAATGCCCAGGTCTCCTCTGGACCCATTCATTAAACCAGAATCTCTGGGGTGTAACTCAAGCGGCAGTAGTTTTCAATCTCCCCAGGTGATTCCTACGCGCAGAACCACAGTACAAGCTAGAGACCGATATGCTGATGATGCCAGGAGAGCAACGAAGGTTGAGAACCCGGAATGAGGTATGGGAGTTGCACAAGGTGACCCAGGGAGCTAAAAGGAACTGGCCTGAGGTACTCACTTCTTTCCCACCCCCAATCCTTGGCAGAGCTGAGGGAAGCAATAAAGGCCTGACGAGAGCTATGACAATGCACACTGCAAAGATGATGAGGACCGTCACATGCTTCTGCCCTGCTAATGATTGCATCTTCTTAGGGCTCGAGCACCTTCTTAGCAGCCCTCATTCAGCCACATTCACGGCAGACTTGGAGCGGGAGGGCAATGAGAGTGAACAGAACAGGCTGCTCGGTGAGACGGAACGCAAGCCTTTTGTAGGAGGATGCTAGAGCGGTGGCTAATTTCTTAATTCTCATCGCAATTCGGTTCACGGGAGACTCCTGGAATGTCTTTATCCATCACAGATGGTCCGGTAAGATGATAAATTAACACTGTTATCAATAGAGGTGCAGCTGAAATGGTTAAAGAGCAATGTCTTCTTTTCCGGGCTCTAAAAAGAAAGCCCCCAGAGTCCATAAAGAAAACAAATGGTAAACAAAACCTCCTATCTTTTGACAGATTCCAGGAGGAGTATCATTCACAATCCATTCTATGGAGAAAAGAGAGAAATTCATCTCATCTGACTTTGTATAGGACAACAGCCCACACCATAATGAGGCCGTCCCAGGGCTGTGAAATTGGGCTGAATAGCTGGAGAGTGCAGCGGCCTGTTCCCTGGGCATGTTTATTACAGTCTTTTGTATGCACCAACCCGGCCAGCCTGGGTTTGCTTCTAAACCAGGGGAGGGGAGAAAGAAACCAACAAATTTGTTGCTATGAAACTTCCCAAATGGGGGACTGCATAATAACATTTGGAATCAAATGCCTTTGCCCCAAGCTGTTCTTGTCTGGGTCCACCCCTGTCCTATATTGAACAAGCTCCTGAGTCAGCCAATCACCAGCAGTGTATGGGTGGCCTCGGCCCCCTGCCCAGGCCCCTCCTGGGCCTTGAGAAGTCAGGGGATAAAGAGGGCTCCAAGGCCATTCCCAAGCCAACTTGGAGGTCCTCAGCCAATTGTCCCAATCCCCCTGTGTAATGCATCTGAATCAAGCAAAGAAGTGTGGCTTCTACCTGAGAACCTATGGTGGGGGCTCCCTGAGGTCAATCAGGGCTGGAGCTGCAGCCAATGAGCTTCCATGCAAGGAAGCATTTCTTAAACCACGCGGCCTTGGAAAGGCAAGGAGGAAGGCTTGTGGTAGGAGTTGTGGAAAAGGGGTGGGGGTGTAGACCAAGACACCGCTGCAGAAGGTCTCAGGGATACACATTCCCCTGCCAGGCAGTGTTTGAACCTCTCCTAAAGCTGGGCCTCACTCACCAAGATCTTAGGGTCTCCTTTTGGCAGGAAGCATCCCTTAGGGGCTGGGGACTCAAAGTTCACACATCCCCTTCGGTGACATCAGGAAAGGAGAGTGGAGAGGAAAGAACTGGAACTTTCAAGAGATAGCTTTCTTCACCAGTGAGATGGCTGGATCTTTCAGGTCACATTTTTGCTTGTTAATCAGCGAGCAGTTTTTTTTCTTACCAACCATGAAGCAAGCTATGCTTCTCCTCATGAATTAAAAGGCAAGGCCCTTGAAACACTGTCCTTCTTCACCAATCAGGTGGTAGATTCCTTGAAACACTGTCTTGCTTCTCTAATCAAGAGGCTGATTCTTCCCTTCCACATTTCCTCAGCAAGATAGGCTTGTGTCTCCCTAAGCAGAACCCATCCTTAGGTTTTCCTCTTCTGTCAGTTCTTCTCCCAGGGTTCCCACCAAGCGAGAACACAGCTGTTATCCAGGACTGGAAAGGAAGACAGCCACCTAGGCTGGCCCCAACATTTGAAGTCAAAGAATGGGAACATTCCCTCATCTGCTTGCATCTGCCCCCCAGAAACCACCAAAGGAAGCTGAGCTTTTATATGCCTTTCAACCAAGGTGGCAACCCTGCAGAATGGCTGGAGGTTCCCAGGAACTTGTGGCTTCCTAACGTCTCTCACTCTAAGGTAGTGTGCAGCACAGGGCCCCATCTCTGTCCTCAGCAACAGAGGGAAAAGGGAGATGACCAAGGGTTTGCTCCTTCCTGCCTCTCTAAGGGACATGCATTTCTGCCCTAACCGCAGACACAGGGAGAATGGGAAATGACTAGTGCCCTTCCTCACAAAGCTCAGACCTTCTCACCCCAGGGCGCAGGTCTGCCCATCTGAGCGGCTGATGTGGGCTAAAATTTCTTGGCCAAATCTCCAGTTAATCTATGTGTAAGCCAGTTGTTTACAAGACCCCGGTTTGAATTTCTTCTGTAAGAGAGACAATAAACACTTTGGGCACAGGCAAAGGAGCTGGATACTTTCCAATTATGTTCTCAGCAAACTCCAGGCCATCTCTTCCTGCTCACGTTTTCCTGAGAGCACAGACCTCTCTCTTGGGTCTCTTTGCCTGGGTCACCTTCCCATTCTCAAAGTCTCCGGAGGGGCTGTCCTTGGAACAGTTGTTCTTTTGAAGTAGAAACAGCCCAGCTACCTTTATGCTCGTATTTCTCTTGGCAACCACCAGAGGCAGCCATAAGTGCACAGACCTGAAGGGAGAGTTACTTGAATCCTGGACTTACCCTACTCACTTCTGTGCACTGGGAACTGGTGGGACCTCTCCTGACAGAGATAGACTGGGCAGCTGATGGGTTTGGTTTGGTTTGGTTTGGTCTGTCTGATTGAGAAAAGGTTCCACACAAGCAGAGGTGACTTCATGTTTGAAAGGGCATGTACTTGGCTGAAGCTCTGCAGTCACTGCTTTGAAAATCTTCATCATTTTTAAATAAGAAGCTCTGTATTTCCAATTTGCCCTGGACCCTGAAAATGATGTTGTCAGTCCAGCACACAAGTACCCAACATCTGGTGGGTTTCCTGTTGTGACAATGATACTTCTGCTTCACTCAAAGACTGAGCAGTGGCCCAGAAGGGTTTCTCAACAGCAGCTCTTCACCTGGGATTAGGTCTGCCATGGCCCGGGGTCTACACAGGCCCATGTGTGTTCAGCTGTTGCATAGGAGTCCTCCAGGGTAAACGTCTTGGAAAGCCATGCTCATGGCAGGCCCTGGCCTCAGACCCCAAGTTTTAGGGCAGAAGAGCCCCGGTTCCTGGAACCCCAAAATCTAATGTGGGGCAGGGGGCCTACTTCTCACCTTCTACCATCACTCAGTCCCCTAGCATTTCATCAGCTCCTCTGAGTCATCTGACTATCCCTTCATTTTTATTAGTGGGAGAAAAACAAACAGCAAACATTAGTGCTTGCTTCAGTGAACAAAAATAGAGTCTCCTGTCTCCTTTTAATTTTTTTTTTTTTTGTCCTGAGAAGTAAAGCTATTTGCAGATGGATTAAATGTTCCTTCTGAGACCCCAATCCTGAAACTGGCAACCTCACTGTGACTGTGTGTGTCTGTGTGTGTAGCAAGGGGCGGGGCGGGGGGTGGCGTGCACACATCCAAAGAAGTATGTCTGCGTGGGTTTGGGAAAAGAGGGTCCTTTGTCCCGATGGTAAGCCTGGCGAACATGACTTGAGTCCCTGTGGTATGCAGCACACCTGTGCAGAGGGGGAGAACCAGGGGGAGGCGGCGGCGAGCCCCTCGCAGGGGATCACACCTTCTCCTTTCTTCTCCTTTAAGCCATGTCTCCATCGCCCCTTTGTTTTGGCTTACACCTCTGAATACGAGGGAGGGTGTGTGTGTGTACAATGACCTCAGTCTTTGCCGCTTTGTATGGGAACTAGAAAAAAGAAATCGAAAAGGAGAAGGCGAGGGAAGACTGGTGTCCCCAAGGTCCCCCCGCCCCTTGTCACCCAGCGGGTGCCCTACCTTTGCAGGCCTTGCGGTGGGTGATAGGCTTGCCCATGTCTCGGTAGAAGCCCTCCTTGCAGTAATGGCAGTGGCGACCAGCTGTGTTGTGGCGGCAGTGGAGGCAGACACCCCCGCTCTTGCGACCCGACAGCTTGTAGAGTTCCATGTTGAAGCGACAGCGCCGAGCGTGCAGGTTGCAATTACAGGCTGCCAGGGAGACAGGAAGAAACCATCAGAAATGGGGGTGCTAAAGCACGGGCACCTGTGGGGGCTTGGCTCCTCACATCATCTCCACTGCTACACCCAGGGAGGCAGCCTTGTGCTCTAGGAGCTTTTCCTCAGCTCCCCTGGTTTGTACCCAGGAACATATCGGGCACCTTACAGTACCATGGCTGAGGCTTTTCTCCAATCCTTATGTTAAAATACAACCCCCAGCACCTCAGGGTTTCACTGAATTCAAAGACAGGTTTTTGTTTTATTTGGTTTTGTTTGGTACTAGGGCTTGGTACAAGCCCTAAATGCATGCTAGGCAAGTGCACTACCACTGAAAAGCACCCTAGTGTTTTATTTCAAGACAAAAGTCTTGATAAGTTGCCCAGGCTGGCGTTGAACTTGGGATCTTCCTGTCTCCACTACTCTTCCTGAGTAGCTGGGATTACAGGCATCCACTATCATTCACAGCCTGAAGACAGGAACTTTAAAGAGGTGGCTGAGTTTATAACAAAGGCCTTCAAGTTGGGTCCTACTCCAAGGTACCCATACAAGAAGAGGAAATCTGGATACACAGAGACTCCACAGATGCATTCAAACAGAAGAAAGATCCGACAGGATGCTGGTGAGAAGTCAGCCAATGGCAAGCCAGAGAGAGAGGCCTCAGGAGAAACCAACTCTGCCAACACCTTGATCTTAGACCTGCAGCCTCCAGAACGGGGAGAAATGCACTGAAGCCTCAGCACAGTCACACACGGCTTGTGAGGCATTCACCTCAAGGCTAGCCTTGAACTCTCCATCCTCCTGCTTCAGTCTCCCAAGGGCTGGGATTACAGGTGTGTGCCACCACTTCCAGTTCATTCTTAATGATGTACAAAGGTTGCCTGGTACTTTGTTATGTGGATATATAGGTCATGGGCTCCTTGCAGTATGAAGATACATTTAACAATAGGACATCCCAGGGCTGGGTAGCTCGGCTGTCTCCAGTTTGTCGTTACTATAAAACAACACAATGGTAACCACCTCTGAACACAACAGTGATCACCTTGAACCACCTTTGAACACACACATGTGTAGGCTCCTCTGATTACTGTTGTACAGAACATCTCTCGAGGCAGAATTCAGAGTTAAATCTTGGATCTGCATTTTTTAACTTTGCATCCAAAATTGCCCTCCAGAAAGGCTGTACTGACTTCCCCTCTCAGCAGCAGGATGTGACAGCTCTTACTTTGCCACATCCTTAAAAAGAATAACAATACACATTTGGTATCAGCATTCTTCTTTTTTTTTAATCTTTGCCAGTTCATCTGGGGGAAAAGACTCACACATGATTTTAATTTGCATGTCTTTGATTACCGCGGAAGTTGGGCATTTCTCCGTGTGTCTTCCTATTTATATTTCTTTTTCTGTGCATTGCCTGTTCATACCATTTGCCCAGTTTTCAAATAAGGTGGAGTTTTGTTTTGTTTTGTTTTGTTTTCTCTTAATGTTTCCTAGTGTTCTTCTCTTTGACTGGATTAAAAAATATCTGCTTTCTTTACAAGCTGAAAATATTTTACCAGTTTCTTATTCATAGGTTCTTTTTATTTGTGATATCTTTAATTGCCTGTTTAATTTTCCTCTGTGATATTTCAAGTTTCTTTAAATGCTCTTTCTACTCAGTTCCCAAATCACTCCTCCAGTAGTCACTCAAGAGAAACAGAGAAGTAAAGTGACCAGCAAGCCCAGCACTGAAAATCCAGTGAACGGAGGGCCAGGACAGCAGCTCAGTTCTTCCAGCTCCTAGTCCACTGTCCCAGAGGAAAGGATCTGAACCACTGGAAGTAACAGGTAGGCCTGGCTCACAGCCCAGCATCTGGAACTTTCCAAAAGCAAAGAAATCTCAGGGCCATATGCACCTACTCAGGGCCAACAATCTGGAAAGATCATCCAGATCCTGTCGGTCACTCTTATACTAAGAAAGGCCTTGGAGTGGCTTCTTTTGGTCCTTTTTGGAGGTCGATTCCATCTCATGTCCTCCTCTGTAAAAGGAGTGTCCAGTTTTCTTGCACCCCCAACAGGCCTCTGAGCTCCTTGTGGAAACTTAGTATTCCCCTTCCCCACACCAAGGAGAAGCTGAGGCTGGAATCTGTCTTTCATACACACCTCACACCAACAAAAGGTTCTTCCCAAACAACTGGTTACACACACAAAAACTCTGAGGCCAAACATCAAAAAGCACCCCTTCCCCAGCTGTCAGGGTACATCAAGTGACAAATGCCCACACTCAGACCTCTGTAAAGTATTTTATGGCTTGTTTTCCTTTCTCTTTGTTTTATTTTCTCTATTCAAATGGAAAAATGCACAAGGCAAGCAGCTCACATCTGGATCCCTTGGTTCCACACAGAGGTGTCACCCAACTCCCTGCCTCTCCTGTGCCCCTGCCTCCCTGCCTCCACGCCTCTGAGAGACACCTTAATCCTTCATGCCTTCCTGTTTATCTCCTGCTTCTCTCAGAGGCAAAAATATTGGGTATTAGTTTCATTATCAGATTTCAAGGCGGGAAGAAAAGGGCAGCTTTGTGAGAACAGAGGTCAGCCTGGGAGAGGAGGGGGCAGGGAAGCAGAGAAACTCCTAAGGGATCAGAATGGCCACGACAGGGAGTCCTGCCTAGCCAGTGCAGCTCTGCCGTTTACCCAGGGGACCCCAGCCATCCAGAGAGAGTCCTGAGCCCCGCAATAGCTATCATGTAGAGATTACCAAGGATGCATCACATGTGACTTCATCACAGACCCAGGCGTCAGGAAGAACAAAAGGAGGAGGAGGAGGGGCTCCCCAACACGACCCTGCAACTGAACCTGACTGGAACAAGGGACCAAGAGATGCACCCCCATTTTCCTCCCCGATCTGCAGGTCCTCCAAGTCCTACTGTAACACATGCCTGTGGTCATTCCTCCACTCCCAGCATTCCTTAAGACTTTCTTAATCTCCCACCTACACAGACATGCCCAGCCCCTCACCACCCTCCAGGTCAGTTCCATTCCACACACATTTACACCAGCCTCTGCTGTGGGTCGTGCAGGATACAAAGACGGAAAATGCACTCACTTGTCCAGAGGCTCCTCACCCAATGGAGCCAGGAGGCAGATGAGCACTCACATCAGAACATACAAGTGGGACAGATGCTCTCATCTACTGCATGGGTTCACTGAAGACAGGGACAATGCCTGCTCTTATGCCCACAGCCCACAGCAAGCCTCAATATACTTTTTTTTTTGGTACTGGGGATCGAACTTGGGAACTTGAGCTTGTGAGGCAGGCAGTGGAACCACTGAGCTAAAACCCCAGCCTCAATATATATATTTTTTGTTGTACAAATCAGAGAGACAGAGAGAGAGAGAGAGAGAGAGACACAGAGACAGAGACAGAGACAGCAAGACAGAGACCCCTCAAGAGAGAAGATGGATGGAATGATGGGACAGGATAAGTGGGTAAAAGGACAGGTGGAGGATAGAATAAGTGAGGTGGAAGAAGAGGGAGGATAGATGGTTAGGTAAACAGGTAGAAAGGTAAGTAGGTAAATAGGTAGGTCAGATATAGGATTCACTACTGCCTGGACCACACCCTGACAAGGACAGCCCTGTGACATTTCCTTTACTGGTACTTGGAACTACTTTAAAATCATCTTGCTGCTTTATCAATTCAACTTCTGTCCACTCAAGTAGACTACAGCGCTCTTGGGAGAAGAACCCACATTTAAGTGCCATGGGCTCCTCACAGGAATCTAAAAAGGGCCCTGCATACAAAGCCTAAGGCTGCCTACGTTGGTTTGGTGAGTATATCACAACACAAACTAACCTCTAATCCTACCAGGATGATCCTAGGCCCAGAGAACATCTAGCAGACACTATTGAGCCATATCCTGACCCTGTCTCTCAGGAACTGTACCTCTGTCTGACTCTCCAAGTTCTTGTAGCTCAGGGGCTCTACCATCGAAACAGGAAGGCCCTCTGGAGACAGTCCTCATCAAGGGCCTGGTCTCAGCCACACGGCCCTTCCTCTACCCCACTAGCACACAGGACTAGTCTTCCCTCCCTTCCAGGGAAATTCTCTTAATAAAGTAGCCCCATATTGTTTATGGTGTGTAACAGAGAATTTTGGACTTACATGTCTGCAGGGGACTGACCAGAATAACCAATCCACAGAAACACCATCAACCCCCAGGCCAGGAGCTTAGTATGCAAGAAATCAGTCCCTATCCCTGGGGACTGGAGGGACATTCTGACCTGTCCAGGCCACATGGACAGACTGAGAACAATGGGCACTTGGAGGGCCAGGGACAGGGGCTGTTTCTCCCACTGGTTTCTTGACTAATGACGTCTGGGGCTGCTGCTGAGGACCAGGAGACCTACTCTGGCATAAGTTTAGGAAACATAGCAGCAAGCAAGACAGAGTTCTGCCCTTGGGTATTTCCGACCTCAGAGGGGGACAGATCTGTGACGCTCTGGAATTTCCACTGTGAGCAGTGCTGTCAGGGCTGACAGTCAGGGTGGCCATTCTGTTGGGCCCTTCTGGGACAAGGAAGAGGGGACAGGGCCTGAGAAGAGAGAACACAAGACAGGATATTCTGCCAGGGCTGCTCCAGCTGCACCTGTGTGTGGGCCACCTGAAAATCTGTCCAAACACAGTTCCGACAGGCTCCCAGGTGACACCTGCCATGCAGCCAGGCTGCAGGCCAGTGTAGACCAGTAGAACCAATTGGAGTAGAAACCTGCTGGAATAAAACCCACTGTGTAGAGAGAGGGCCCTGGAGGTAGGTGAAGGGAGAGCTTCCAGCGGGGAGTTGGCTAAGAGTTATTAGACAGAGGTGTGCATTTGTAAGAAACTTCTCCTTGAACAATTGGTTCAAGGCCCAGGGGTTTAGCTCAGTAGTGCCGCCACCTGCCTCGCAAGCGCAAGGACCTGAGTTCAATCCCATGTATCCCCCTCAAAAAAAATTGGTTCAAAGATGTAAAGAT